CCTCTCTTCGCCAGATTCTCAGCTAACCCTACCACGCACCAAGTTGCCAGACACAAATCTCCGCCGAAGAGCTCCAATCCGGACGCTGGACCTCCTGACAGTCTCACGGGCTGTTCACCCGACTCACCTGCCTGCCTCCCTGCCTCAACGCCAGGAATTTCAGACCACTCACCCGGACAACTCACCCCTTCATGCCACTACAGACCACCCACGGCAAGTACGCAGTACTAAGGAAGATTCAGAACGAATAGCTTGCCCGTATCTCTCCTGAACCATACCTGAACATCTGTACCCAGCCCCGGACTCAGTTTGACTCTCCCTCCAGCCCAATCCCCGGAACAGCTGTTTCCACTGACCAACGACCAGATTGCTTACTTAGCCCAGGCTGCTTAAAACCCTTTTGCTTTAATTGTGGCATTTAGCACTTGTTAAACTCACATTCCAGTTTCCTGATTGTGAACACTTACTGAGAAAATAAAATGTTGTCACTGAAACTACTTAAGTACTGTTCGGCGCCCAGCATTTGAGTCCTTTCCCTTTTGAGGCAGCCTTGGCCATAACACGCATAGATTTCCCCCCACTCAGTTTGAAGGGAAAATACTTTCAAACTCTAAAGAGTCAAAGAGAGAGAGTCAAAATAAGACCCACAAGGTGCTATTTATTAGATAACTGAAGATTTCCATCATATTACATTGTACATGTATTTGTGTTACTGTGATTATGCCTGTTCAAATTAAGGAGTCATCATGTACAAGGTATATGTTTTTCCTAATTCCATTTCTGGTTTACATCCAGTACGGGGTTGTAGTGATGATTACATCAGCCCTGTTGTGCCTGCTGGAGTAGCTCGCAGGCTGCTGCCTCTCTCCAGTTTTCTTACGGTGGAGCCTAAAAACAGGTGTTGAGTTCAGTCAAATGTCTGTCACGCGTTATCGCTCATTATTAATATTTTTCCACATGAGTAATTTCACCACTTTGTAGAAAATGTACCAATGCAAGATTTTTTTTCTTTTTTGCTAAAAGAAAAGTTTAAAGCCATTTTAAAATGTGCATACATTTTTATGTTGGAAAAAAACATCTTGTGTGTTGGGACTCACATGCTTTTTGGAAGAAAGAAGAATACAGTCTGCAGATATGCTTCATGCCTGAATGTACTATTCTTTGTCCCACTGATATAAGAGAATACAGGAGAATTATTTAATTTATTTATTACTCCTGTTTACTTCATCTATCATTTAGGATGAGCGTTCCAGAGAAATTCTGGTGCGTGTATTTCCAGCAAATCCATTCTTACAATCTTTCCCATAACATAATATATGTTAGATCCTGTTTAAAAAAAAGCAGAAAAATGACCAACTCTTGTCTTAAAATTGGAATAACTAACCTAGCGTACCATAACGCATAACTGTCATTGCCTGTAAGGGTGTAGGCAATGACAGTTCGACATTAAAGCATCTTAAAGCAAAAAAACGTCTGTTATAGTCTACCTCTTTTTAATAGCGCCTAGGTATAGAGTATAAATGCAGAGTATAGATAATTAAAATACATGCTTAGAAATCCTATGGCACTGGTTTAGTTCACAGGTTGAGCAGGCAGCCATATGCCGGGAAGCTAAACTGTAGAATCTCGGGTTTAACGCTGACATGAAGCCTTGTGTTACATTTCTTTCCCCACCCACTCACTCACCATCTCTCTCTACCTGCTTTCCTGTCTGTAACTGCACTGTCTAATAATGGCAAAATCAAAAATAATTAAAAATAAAACCGCCTGCCATTTACTCTATATTAAGAATTTTACAGGAGTGGAAAGACCTAAAAGAACGTCTGTCTGTTATTTGCTTTTTAATTTATTGCGATGTGAAATGTTTGTGTATTTTTCAAGTTAAACACACACACACACGTAGTGCTTCACAGAAACCTGTTTTAATGGTGGTTAACTTGTAGCTATACAAATGTCAAGCAGTTCAGGGAATGGAATAAACAGATCTCGAGATTCATTTGGCTTAACAAAAGACCAAGGGTAAAGTTTTCTACTTTGCAGTTGCCGAAGGAGGAAGGGGGCTTGGCTCTACCTTCATTAAGGGATTACTACTTGTCTGCTCAGCTGAGGTCTTTGGTGTGTTGGTGTAACCAATCCTTTTGTGCAAGGTGGAAGACGATTGAGATGTCTCTCTCGGACACACCGATCCAATCTAGACTTGGTCACGCAGCTTCTGAGTTGGACAATATCTTGACAACCAGCCAATGGGTCAATTTTACATTAAAAATATGGAGGGGAGTGGTCAAGCAAGCACAACTTCAGGAAGAGATAAAACTTCTGAGGTGGCCAGCGTACGACCCTGATTTTTTTACCTGCCTCCCACGACAGTAGATTTAGACAATGGGTATGGCATGGAATTACTGCTGTGTGTTCAGTTATCGTAAAATCTAAAATTATGGCCTTTGATACCTTATGCAAGACTTACGGCCTTGAGAAACAAGACTTTTTCCGATACTTGCAATTCCGTGACTATATTGGCAAAAGAATAAACAGCTGTGTCCCTGGAGACTTCTCGATTGTTAACATCTTCATTGACGCTTATGACTCCGGGAGTAGCAAAGCCCTAATAAGTAAACTGTACAAATGTATGATTAAGCTCAAAAGGGACTCAACAACTTACATAAGACAGAAATGGGAAAAAGAAATGGACATTGAGATTACAGAAGATGGGTGGACATGGATTTGGGAAACACAGTTTACCACACCTAACTCCAACATGTGGCGGGACTTTTGTTGGAAGAACATTATACGCTTTTTCATAACACCTAAACAAAACTCTAAATTCAGTGCTACACCTGCGCTTTGTTGGAGAAACTGTGGGGAAGTCATGGCAGATCATGGACACATATTCTGGTCCTGCCCATCCATACGACCCTTCTGGATGGAAGTTGCAAAAATAATCACAAAGGTACTGGGATTCAATGTGACTTGTACATTCGCATCATTGTATCTGGGATATTTTGCAGAAGATTTAGTTACAGACGATGTTTATCTCCTGAGAATTTTCTTGGCATCTGCAAAAAAGGCTATAACAAAACGCTGGCTTTGTAAAGACCCTCCCACTATAATACTTTTTACCTCTATAGTGGGAGACATCAAATTGATGGAATGTATGAGGATGATATATGTATGCTAACGGATGGACCAGCTTCAGGGTTCAGCACCCTGGACAGAGCTTCACATACTGAACCGACAAGATTCTTTGAAAGGATGTTTAAGCTTGAGGCTCCATTTTTCCGTGCTTTTTATGTCACTTTAAACAGGCATTAGTCTTTGTTTTCCTTTTAAATATGTGCCTATTTGGTGACAAGGAAGAAAATGAAAGAAAAGAAAAACCTCTTTGTATGTGACCTCTTTCAGATGGTGGCACATCTTGGTATTTGATGCAGTATAGTATTTTATTCACACCGAGGAAGTT